GATTGACAGGTACATGTAGGTATGACCTAGATTTGTTTTATATCTTTTATATATTTTGTCTGTGATGCTACTAATGTATGCGTTAATGTATGTATTAGTTACCTCGTAAAGAATTGGGGCGGTGGGGTAGCCTAGTGGTTAAAGCGTTCGCTCGTCACGCCAAAGACCCGGGTTCGATTCCCCACATGGGTACAATGTGTGAAGCCCATTGGTGTCCCCCGTCGTGATATTGTTCGAATATTGCTAAAAGCGGCGTAAAACCATACTCACTCATTCGTGAAGAATTGGTCTTAAACAACCCATGCTTGTCGACAGATGGTAGTAACGGGATCCGGTGGGCATGCTCGTGTATGGAGGAATCATACAATATTTGGGACCCACGAAGTCAATTACATATCTTGCTGTAAAACCAGGGGAAACATATTAATCCAGGGATTATTTTTAAAGAAATCGCCACAAAATACCAGAAGGTCTATCACAGAGTGCCTGAAGGCAAGAAAAACAATCTGAAAGGTAATTAAAAATATATTGCATGCTGTTGTTTTAGAGAGAGTAATCCTGGGAAGAAATGCCTTTTTCGGGAAGTTTCGGAATATCAAGAGGTCGGCCTCTTGACAATATTGCTCTTAATAGTAGTGAAATTAAATGCGATTTCATAAACTAGGATATACACTGCCGTGCAAAAGAAAGTATACACTTGGAAATTGGATTTTAACCAAACGTTAAGAACATCATAAACACGTGACTAGGCTGAAAACAGTCGCCGTAAAACTGCAAACTTAAGGTCCAAAACACAACTATGATACCCTTATCAAATGCATCACCATCGAATAACCATTTCAAGTTTGCTTAAGTTGTAGCCACCATTAAACATGGGTGTATTCTGTATTTAGCCCGGTAATTTATAGCCCATGCCTTGCTGAACGAGGTTAGGTAATATACGTCAAATCAGTCAATTCCGAAGTCAAGAGTCTTAATTCATTAGGATGGACGGTGAACATTATTGCTAGAAATTAAAAACATTTTGTATCCGATTACGTTCTGTTCATGCAGTAAGGCCATAAAGTTAAACGAACGTAAATGGAAGCAAGACAGTCATACATACAGCCTTCAAAGGCAGTCAAGCAGAAGATCATGATTTCCCGTCATACCGTCTCATATGTCTCCTTGCGTTACATATTGTGCCCGGGGTTTATGGCAATGAGTAGGTCGCTCTTCAGTAGTAGTATTCACCCCAGAGCCCAAGTTATTGCGACGTAGATTTGTTCCACTTACAACCCTATGATTTGAACTAGGGAATTATTTTAGGAAAAAGCTTGGAGAAATGCAACCAACAAAATGTCGCTGGCACTGTTTGCTGTAAGAATTTACGATTATTCGGGTGATAATGTTTTAAATGTTGTTTTTGGTTTAAAAAAAAGGCCCGATATCCAGGCCAATACCTTTGTTTGGTATAGTGTTCTGGTCTTTTTGATGACAATTCACAATGCCACGCCCAAGTAAAAATGACTGAGGTTTGCTTGAATCCGGCACCTCTCAGAGTGACGGTCACGGTACGTCCATTCAACTTCCACAGGAACACCATATCTCCCGCATGGAGAGATTATCTATCAACAGAACAACCACGTCAGTTACTGTCTCGGCAATGGCCGCCCACTAGTGACAAACGCTCGCCTAGACATATGGATCCGAACTACGCATCTTCGACAACAGGTTACAGACTCCCACAGTCCGTGCCACTCCTGGCAACAGAGACGTATATGCGAGGATTTTCCGACGACGCCTACCCATGTACGACATCCGTGCGAGGCACCTAGCCAGTCGGCCAATCCTGAGAAACTTGTGGGGAACAGCACGGGAGTGGTGAGGATTTCTGGCATGGAAGTTCCTCAGATCTGTCACCAATCGAAACATGACTGGCATGATATGGAAGGGCGTTTGCGACGTCTTCCAAATCCCCTAACAAACGTCACAGACACTCCGACTTCTCTTTCTTCAGATTTTGAACGCCTTGCCCATGGCCTATCTGTAACTTAAGGGGCCTTAGTGAGACTGAGGTGTCAGACCTTTTAATTAAGATCTTTCCTGGCAGAAATTTCAACAGGAGAGTTGTTGCCAGTGCCAAATTTTAAGTATTTAAGGATTAACTTTTCACCGTTCCTCTACGAAATGTAAGATCAACAATATTTTACCTTCGCATTGTGAGACCTGTGCTTCTGTTTATGGATGCTGATTTTGTGTCAGTTAAGCTGTAAACACACAAAAAGTATCACCCCTCGAAGGCTGTATGTAACGTTTTTTGTTGAATGAGTGAGTGAGTGAGTATGGGTTTACAGCGCTTTCAGCAATACTTGAGCAACATGACGACAGGGACACCAGAAATTGTTTCACGGCGTGACGAGCGAACGCTTTAACCACAAGACAACACCGCCGCCGAGCTATTTGTTGAAAAGACAAGAAGTGGGGGTGAAGGTTTTGTCAGGTGACTCCAAGGAGGCGAAGGAGAGGGCTCTGAAAGGCTTCGTGTCAGTAAACGTGAGGAAGAGACACACTGCTCTGAACGGTTTCATGGTTTCCTGTCGTGTCAATTTCTAAAAGCCAATGTTGTTTCAAATGTTAATAAAATCGAAACATCGAAAATTGAACAAAGTCCTTTTCTATCATGTTTTAAAGTCAGACTTAATATATAATAATTCGATTGTAATATGCTAAGACGAGTGCCACATGTTTTTGTTTTCAAAAACAATTTCTCAAGACGTTAGCAAATATGTATACACGATGAAAAGTCCAGATGGCGACACAAACTCTTTCTCATATTTTTGGGGGATATCTTTTTTAAAACACTTGTAGAACTTTACGATCATGAATCATGAACCAGAGAAAAATAGAGAAAAATAGAGAAAATCAACAAAATGCTGGAACATGAAACATGATTTACTTAATAATTAAGTACCACATGCCCCCGAATCCAAGTGGGCGTATTCATGTCTCAATGTATGTGTCTTATCTATGTATCACTGTACACATGCAAGATAGTGAAAGATTTCGAAATAGCATGTTGACATGTTGTCTGGATTGATAAACAACACTAAATCCTGCTCAGTGTGGATTCCCTCTAGGTCTGTTGTTGTATCGTTGTAATTTGGCCTGAACCTCGATACACAAATTTAGTAATTGAAATCCTTTCCCAAACCTTTTAACTTTTAAGAATCATTAATATTATTCCAAGAAATTGATTAAGCATGTATTATTGTCCAACCTCAATTCTTTATGTCATATCTCTTTATCATCAATAAGTTCCTTAAATTTGTTATCATTTTCCGAAATGTTGACGTAGAGTTGCACAACGAGAAATAAATACACAGTCAGAAGAAGACATTATTTACTCTTTTGAATCTCATCTGGACGCCAACGTTTAATCAGCTTTAATCGACTTTTCTATAGCCGCCGAATTTAGTGTTATCGAAACTCCAGCACCAGAGATAACTCGCTCACCGAAGATCGCAGGCGGGTTGCAAAATGGCGTATTGTGACGAGTGGGCTGAGGTATGGCATGAAACCACACGAATAAACTTGCTTGTGACCAAGAGCACACGCAAACATAAGTTTAAGTGATTGATCAGTTGTTAATTCTAAAGAGCAAATGCCAGTAAGAGGTTTTATCCGGATAAATCTGCTTATAGCATCATCATCGTCGTCGTCGTAATCATCATCATCATCATTGTCATTATTATGACAGTACGCACGCCAAATTTACAAGTTATTTGAACTATACCATGTATTTATTTTACTGGTATTGCACTGGCAAGCTGGATACAGACTGTTTATTCCTTATACGGGATATTTACGATCCCAAAACAGCGTGATAACCTCTATAATATAAAACATCATTCTTAAGTTCTACCTAGACATTGCAAATTTTCCAATATATTTCACACTGAAACTTATTTTTTTTACACTGAGCTGAACTAAGAATGACATTTGAACTGTGATCTATTATCCCAGTAATTTGTCAATGGTTTAATATAATTATGAGTCGATCGCCGAGAGACATGGTTAAACAACTTTTGCATGGAATGCATACTTTTGCTGTAGCAGTTGCGATTTTGTGACTTGATTCCATACATGTACTACAATATTGAAAACCAAACTTTACTTGTTTGAAAAATACACTGATATATTGTTGTGACAGGAACTTTTGTTGTTGAGTATACTATTCACAACAATTATATTTTTTAATTGGGACCGCCTCCGTGGTCTAGTGGTAGAGCGTTCGCCGGAGATTCCCAGCCGCGTCATATCAAACTACATTAAAAGATGATCCTTGTTGTTACCCTGTCTGGCGCTCGGCATTATGGGTCTAAAACAAGGACTGGTCGGCTTGGAGTATATTGTGTCTGAGTGGGGTATTCATGTTGCATGTGGCATGGTATCTCAGTGGGATAGCACTATAAAGCGACATCAGTCCGGACTAGTACAAGCAGCCACACACACACACGTGCAAGCACGTCGCAATATAAGTGCAATAATATTGACCGTGCAAGCAAACCCTATTCACCTCACCTTTTAAAGTGTCTACTTAATAGTCGTTTAACGTCCATAAAATTACCATCAAACAATTCACTTCATTGACAAGGATACGCAACTTGGTCGTTATGTGATGTCCGCAGCAAAACATTAATATATTGAATTCCTCGTGAGGCTCAAAATCGTTTCTAATCGCTGCCGTGGTCTATTGGTAGAGCTTCCGCCCGGAGAGCGGATGGGACGGGGTTCGATCCCCGGACGCGTCATACCAAAAGACGTTATGATAAGATAGTACTTGTTGTTACCCTGCCTTACTCTTTGGGGCTAAAACAAAGACAGGTCGTCTCAGAGTCAGTATACTGTGTCTGAGTTAGGTATTGATGTTCAACTGTGGCATGGTATATAGGTGGGTTAGCATTATAAAATATAAGGACTTGTACGAACAGCCACACACACAAACACGCGATAATACACGGTTGTACGGTTTGGCTATTTATAGTAACAGACTGCGACTAGTGCATGAGTTGCGTCCCTTTCCATTTCGACAACGGCTACTTCCGGTGAGACGATATCGTTAAGAAAACAGTTCTCCAGTGCTCGCTTCTCACAGCTTCTCCAACCCGTTTTTAGGTAAGTATTTAAGACATTTCACATGACAACATGTCACTCACAACCACTTTCAACATGGTTCTCACTTGTAGTGTGTTGACATGCCATAATAATTCTGATAAGTTGAAGAAATGGAGACAAGGTTTTTGTTTCCACTGTGATGCACCGAGATCCTCCCATAGGTGTATATGTGCTTCTCCTTACAAGTATGTTTGTTTTTAAATTTATCACACCGTTTCAGTCTTTTTTTTTTGTGTGAATATAATACCATTCTTTACCATTCATATTGTCAAATATTTATGATTATTTTATCACGTCCAAATAGCAGGTAAAATGTCTACCAAATGAAAAGATTCTGTTCCCAAAATATTTATATATAGGCTACTATTTCATCCAGCGTTTTTTTAATTGTTATTTGATATTGGTATCTAGAGATAAGACATGAAATTCGTTTTGTTTTTTTTTGTATTTTGTGTCATGAAATAAATTGGTGTTGGTTAAAACAATACCTTGAAATATTAATTTTCATATTCAGTACTCCTGTCACTAGGTGTATGGAATCTATGTGTTTCTCTCTTATAGTCATTATACTTATGTTTTCCTTCTAACTTGTATTTGTCATTTTGTGCATGAAATATCTTTTGCGGTTATACAGATACATATTCCAGAATGCACACCATGAAAGCTAATCATGAATTTTAAGTGTACTTATCTAAAAGTAAATTTCATTAGGTAGTGTGACGTGCAATACTATTTATCATGTGACATTTTCAGTAAGTTTATTGTTCCTGATATTGTCAAATACAGTCATGCTCTTCCTTTATTATTTCCTTATTAAACCCTATTAAACGTCAAATGCCCAAGTGGTTATTGTGTATACTATGATACAGGATAAAACTTCCCCCCAGCACCCTATAGCTGTAGAAATGGGATGATGAGACAAGTGTTTGCATAATGAATCTATTCAAAAAATAATTTATATTATTTGTTTTTGTTCAGATTGAAACCCTTCCCTACAACAAGAGGCGACAAAGAAGCTCGGACGAGATGGAAGGTCATGGTGAACAGACAGGATGGATCAGGTCAGCTATGGTCACCCAAGAAGGATTCAAGGGTATGCAGCCTACACTTTGTGGATGGAAGACCAACACCAGAGAATCCCTACCCATCTTTAAACCTTGGCTATGCTGATACGGAGAGGAAAGTAAAGCGTCTCCTATTCAGTGACCAGGTGAATCTCCCCCCAGCCAAGAAGAAAAGATGCCTCATCATGCCGTCTATTGAAGTACCTCTCTCCAAGCCAGATCTGGACCCGTTAGGTGGTGACCCCTCTGCAGAACAGTCCAGGGATGCCACACGTGACCTGCCACCATGCCTACTCACTGTTGTCTCAGTACACTGGACTTGGTTCACTGCGTTTCTCCTGCTGATCCAGTGCTTGTGGAGGTTGGCGTGCAGATACCATGACCAAGCACGAGCCCTACACAAGCAAGTCCAGGGCCTCACTCTACTTCTGGCTGAAGAAAAAAGGAAGGTAGTTCGTCTTGTGGCTCAAGTGGAGAAGATGAAAGCCGACAGCAAAGATACTTCATTCGCCTCGCAATTTCTGAAGACTGATGACGATGTCAAATTTTACACTGGTATTGAGAAACTGTTTAATGAATTGTTGGAGTTTGTTGCCCCCTACATTCAGAGACGATGGCATGGGACAATAAGCTTGTTGAAGAGTGTCCGGCACTTTGCTGGACGACGTGGGCCAAAACCCCGACTTCGGACCTGTGACGAGTTTCTTATGACTTTGATGAGGTTGCGACTGGGACTACTAACCAAAGACTTAGCAGCACGATTTCGGGTTTCTGCACCACTTTGTTCGAGGATATTTTTTTCATGGATCAGAGGAATGTCAACAGTTTTAGGGACATAAGTGTATATGCCAGACATCGGGGAAATAAGAGCATCCAAACCTAATCGTTTTCGTCATCTTCCAGACATCCATTAAATTATCGACTGCACAGAAGTGTTTATTGAAACTCCAAAGGATCTCTATCTCCAGGCTGCAACATGGAGTGACTACAAGCACCACAACACACTGAAGATACTGGTTGCTGTAGCCCCTAACAGTACCATTGTCTTCGCATCCAAAGCGTATTGTGGTAGAGCTGGAGACAAGGCTGTTACACTCAACAGTGGATATTTGGACCAGGTGCCTCCCTATTCTATGCTGATGGCTGATAAAGGTTTCAATATTGCCAATGAATGTGCAGACAGGTGTTTATCAATACATGTTCCGCCTGGAAGGAGAGGCCAGAGCCAGATGACTTGTGCTTCAGTGCGGAAGACAAAACGAATTGCAAACCTACGTATTTTAGTAGAACAGGTGATTAGGCAGATAAAAACATTCCGTCTGCTCAAGACTGAGCTTCCAATCACTCTAGTGCCTCACATAGATGACATTGTTACTGTTTGTTGTGCCCTTGTCAACTTTAAGAAGTCTGTTTATATGTCCTGATATATCTTCCTGGTGTGTTGTACATTTATTGTAAAAAAATTATGATCAGTTTAAATTTGTTGGATTTCCTATTCCTATCTATTAAGTGGGGACATGTGAGGCACAGTCGTCTAAGGCACCTCAATTTGCTGTGCAGATTAACATCCATAGGGACCACCATAAACCTCGATTCAAATCCTTATTCTCCCCGAAAATGGTTTTAGGTTTGTTGGCACCATTCCAGTGCTCATGGGTTTCACCAAAGTCGTAACAACCGAGACCTGCATCACGTAGGTTAATGTATGCCTATAGCCGTGTTTTGTACATGTCCTGTGCTTTACTCCAAATTTAACATTCTGTTCATCTGTTTGGTGTATCTCTCCACCCATTGTAATGTTGCAGGATTTGATTTATGATTTAGTGTTATGGTATGACATTATTAGTGCTATGCGAGGAGTTATGTCAATTTTAAACAGAAGTGAGGGCGAGGGCAGGTGCAGTGACATGTACAATTGCGAAATCGATTGCGTTACATTTTCACATGACAAGTTCAATGTGTATGTTGTATGACAATGTATTATGCTCTCATGAATCCTAAAGTAGCCAACGTTGATGGTTGTCAGTAATAAATCCATCAAAATTCATGAAGTGTGTTGCGTCTCATGGTTACATCACGAAGGACATGGGACATCAACCAGATGCGGGGAATAAGCAAGAACTGTTACACCGGTACCTGTACAACTTCTTTATTACAATGACTGTGATGTTTCAATTCAATCATCGTGGTCACATGCAAACAAACATGTAAAGTTAATGCAAGTTTAAACAAATCAACCTATTGAGTATTAACAGATATTGAATATACCCCTTAACTGATAGTATAGCACAAACTACAATGCAAACAATGCAATTAATACAAATTCACAATGTCATGTTTAAGTCATACACTTTGGGCAAAACCAGGAATCATCATCCTCTGGCACATCTACAACACCACCACATCTTAAATGGCACCACATATTGCAACAACTGCACTGGATGGACTCCTCAAGTCGACTGGATGGCTCGTCGATGCACTGCTGTCCACAGACAGGACAGAGAAACAGTGGCGCCCTTACTGCACGTTTTGCCCTCTTTGCCTGACTTGCACCATCAACCCTCTTCTGTTTTCTCTTGGAGCTGGTTCCCCTTGCTGCAACATTCAGGAGCACCACAGTGTCATTTTTGCTTTTTGGTGTCATAGATATGGGTACTGTCACAGCCAAAGCACCTTTCACATCTTTAGAAAACAATGCTGGCAATACAAACTTCAACCAGAATTTATCCATTTTCGCAAGCATATCTGTCCAATACAATTTGTCAAATGGTACTCTGACACACAAATGTCCATGAAATGTAAATATAAATATGTCACAGTACATCCTATTGAGAATTCCCATCTGACCCTGTATCTGAGCATAATATCTATCTGTTGTCTTAATACATAGATCCCCATCATTTATTTCTATAAAGTTCACATTGTCAACTGAGGGTATTTCGGATTTGATGGTTGCTGGGCATTTAATTTCACAAAGTCCCTTACCGCAGCATTCACAATCGATTATTAAATCAGGGCTTGCTGAAATATATGGCTTGTTGGGTAAAACAACAATCCCAGAGTCGGATGACTTAAATTTCTTGTGGATCTTTTTCATTACTTTTGCATATCGCAACTTTGCATGGGGCTCACAGGAAACACCATGTTTCATGTCGATTGTTTGTACGCTCTCACTGTATCCCATGACATGATTAATCAGTGCTGATCGGTCGGCAGAATCGTCCCTGTCAAGGGTCTCCATCCTGGTGTAGACGCGCCGGAAATTGCTTGCTGTTATTCGACCCTTCCTCTGCATCTTCCACTCAACACCTCCCTGATTCTCTGTAGCCGATGTTAGTTGGTTACATTGAGCAACAGAAGAACTAAGTTGTTTGATGAATGCTTCAGGGGTCTTATTTGATGTTTCTGGTGTTGTGGCACAAAACTGATCTACCATGGCAGGCAAGCTTGGAACGCATACAGGCAATGGAGCTGGGGCTTCTTTTTTCATCATCTTATGGAACCGAGCTTCTGGTGCACATCTTCCTGCAATTGCCGACAGCTTGTTTCGGATCTGGACTTTGTCCTTGACAAGATCTTGTTGTTTCCTGCTCAATGGGGTGAAGCTTGTCTTGTTTATCACAGGACGTTTTGTTGTCTTGCCATGTTTGTAAAAATGGTCCTTCGTCCATGAAAGGTCGACAGCAGGCACAGGGTTGAGGGACACTCTCTGTTTGGGAATGGTCCATTCACATTGCTTGTCTGTACACGTCTTATCTGTTGCGCCAGTTACGACGGCTGCTTCAACACGAAACAGAAGTCCGGAAATGTGGTTGCATGAACCCAACATACCTGCAGTGCATGTACAGTATGCACTGAGGACCCTTCCACCAGCTTGAGTTCCAGACTCCTTTGCAATGGCAGCCCAGACAGCATATGCAGGTGAATTCAGGGACATTGATGGCATGACTTTTGCTTTCAGTAGACACAATGAACTGTTGTCCCTTATGTTGTGGTACAAAATCTCTTTCACCCAGTCACATGAATAATACCTATAAGCTTTACCAACTTTGTATTCATTGATGATCTGTCTTACAAGGTCCTCTGGAGTTCTCTCATTCAAGTAACTGGCTATATCTGTAATGTACACTGACGGCCACATGTTGATTCCTTCCTCTTCCCTAATCCATCCAACATCCAAGGAAAAAGGATCTTGAAGAACCTGTCCATCCACTAGGAGCTTCTCCTTGTATTCAGAAAGTAGCTTCCTCTCTTCATGCTCAGCATCAATGTTCACTGGAGTTTTCTCCTCCCAGGCGATGAAAGACCTGTAATCAAATATGGTTTCATCATTATACAATACTATCAAAATGACAACCAAAGTATTATTGTTGCATATCACTATTTGTGAATTGTCATGAGAATAAACACTATTTAAACAGATTTCGAATCAATACCAACCCAGCCTACAAATATTACATATATATGGCTTGACATATTTTGTTGCGTCATGTTGACGCACAAAACAAGGTATGTTTGCTTACCTGTGGATTTTAAACTTTTGCTAATTTCAGTTCAGATAATCAAATAAAATATATGTGTACTGTACGCTTGTCACTTTCGACAACCAATCTTCCGCATTAAAAAAAATATATGTCAATGTGCACATTAAGTTTATATCTGTGGCAATTGATTGTATGTGAATTTTTACCAAAACTATGTTGTACTTTATTGACCTTGTACTAAATATAAAATATATATGTTTCAGTATAATATATATAACATTATTTACTGTTATAACTTGAAGTCTTTCTTTCTCAAATGATGATTTCTTTATTCTTTCATGTTTTGCATTCTTTCTTTTCTTTACATTCTTTTTGTTTCCATTTAGATAAATGTCTTTCTTTTCTTAACTAGAATCTCATTATTTTCAGATTGACTGAAATACAAATAAATAAACAATAATTACTATTTTGATCAAATGATGCATTAATGCAAATAATCATAATGACATTATAATTGAATTAACCTAATAAAATTGACTACCTTTCAGTGACATGAAATACTATGCAAAATGTAAACAAACGATGAAAAACACTTTATGACTAAATAACTGCTCTAAAACATTTATACACAGGTAGATAATGATAAAATAATATATATGACAAAATTTGGCAAACTCACCATTGTTTTTAGACTCTTTTATCCTTAAAACCTTTTCTCATTTCTTTCATTCTCACATGCATGCTGCATGCTTTTAGGGCCACATGGAAGATAATACACGATACTAAGCAGTTATGCCCCTTGGCATATTATGATGAGTAAACATAAATTTGAATGGAGAAGAAATGAAATATGAATTAATACTTGCCAAAAACGAAATATGATTTATATTTTAATACTTTGATAACAAACAAAGGAAATATGATTCTGAACTTTGCAAATAATAACTTAACAATTTTGACACTTACACACCGGCCTCCTAATTGTAGGATGAAATGAAACAATTATCTTAACTAAGAAACAATAACCCACAAACACTCCTAAATAAACACTTAATTGTCAATATTCATGTGTTTACACTTTTACTTAGCACATCCCTTTGAAAGTTCTGTTATGTTTGTATACAGCTCTACTAATTGTCTTCCATAACGAGACACAGTTTGTCAACAGGTCGCACAAATTCTGAAGAAGCAGTCTTCACTTTTACAGTTCGCACAAGGTTTTTCCTGTCATGATAGAGTTCTGTTACTCTTGCAAGAGCCCACGCATTACGTGGTGTATTGTCCATAATTAGCACAATGTCTCCAATCTGAAGGTTTCTTTTGATCTGATTCCATTTTTGCTTTTGCTGCAGGAGAGGTAGATATTCTTTCTTCCATCTTTTCCAGAAGATGTCTGCAAGGTATTGTACTTGCTTCCATCGTCGACGGCTATAGATGTCCTCTTTCTTGAATGTTCCGGGAGGCATCTTTTCACCAGAACGTAGGTATAACAGATGGTTAGGAGTGAGCACAGATAAATCATGCACATCATATGACAGATCAGTGATAGGACGTCCATTGATGATAGATTCCACTTCGCAAAACAAAGTGTTCAACGCCTCATCATCCAGCTTAATGTTCTGCTCTTGTAGTAAACAATGAAGCACTTTCCGTACAGTCCTAATCATCCGCTCCCAGAATCCACCATAATGGGAGGCTGCAGGTGGATTGAAGCTCCATTCACTCCCTTTGTCAACGAAGGCAGAGTGAATCTTTGATTCTTTTAAGTTCTTTAATGCTTCACATAACTCTCGCTGACATCCGACAAGGTTAGTACCATTGTCAGATTTGATGAACTTGGGTGGTCCACGTCGTGCGACAAATCTTCTGATGGCATGGATACAGGAGTCTGTGTCTAGGGTGGCAGCCACTTCCAGATGTATAGCACGAAGATTCATGCAAGTGAATACAACTCCATATCGTTTTACTGAGGTACGTCCACGTATCACTTTGAAAGGACCAAAGAAGTCCATACCTACATTGGTGAAAGGTGGTAGGTCAGGAGTTATCCGTTCATCTGGGAGATCAGACATCTTTTGTTGTCCTGGAGAGGAGTGATATTTACGACATGTGACACACTTTGAAACTATTGTCTTCACCAGTGAGCCTGCTCCAATCACCCAGTACCATTGTCTGAGATGTGACAAGATGGAGTTCTTTCCTAGATGTCCAACAATCTTATGAGTCTCTTCAATGATCAAGCGTGTTACACGAGATTTCTTGGGAAGAATGATTGGGTGCTTTTCGCTGAAGGAGATCTCTGCATTCTTGAGGCGTCCTCCAACATGAATGACGTCATCTTGAAGAAATGGATCCAACTTGTAGAGAGGGCTTGATTTATCAACTGTTGCAGAAGATTGCTTGAGACATCGTTGTTCTTTCGAGAAATGTTGTGTCTGACAGTGTTGGACTAGGAGCTTGTCTGCATCTTCAAGGACTGGAACATTCATGGTGTAGTTCACTTTCTTGGTGGATTGAGACTTGTTGACTCTCTGGCGCAAACATCTGATAGTTAACATGATCCATGCTACTGCTCTTCTTAACTTTGTCCAACTTGAGAAGTGGTTAATTAGAATGTCTAGGAAGCTATCCTTCTCCATGATGGTTGCATGAACACATTCCTTAAGTTCAAGATCATCTTCTTGAGGTTCTTGGTTGCTGTATTGCTTCGGCCAGTCCTTGTGGTGCTGCCATAGGAATCTTGGTCCTCCCGTCCAATGCTGAATATGGTGCTCATTATCAAGCTTGATGCCTCTTGAAGCATAGTCTGCTGGGTTCTCTTTAGATGACACATACCTCCATTGATTAATATCAGAACAGTCTCTTATCACAGCAATCCGGTTTGCTACAAAGGTTTTGAACCTGGCATTGGTGTTAAAGATACATCTCAACACTGACATGCTGTCCGTCCAGAAGAAAGTTGTGTCTACTTTGACCTGAAGTTCTTGAAGAATAAGGGATGACATGCGTACAGCTAGAGTAGCAGCAGTGAGTTCCATGCGTGGTATGGTTATTTTCTTTAAGGGAGCAACCCTTGATTTAGACATTACCAGAGCACAATGGATCTCCTCATCTTCATTCACAAATCTGATGTAACCGACGAATCCATATCCTACATTGCTCGCGTCTGCAAAAAGGTGAAGTTGACATGATGTTACAAGTCCAAACTCCATAGGCTTGTAGCATCTTGGAATGTGGATATCTTCTAACAAGGTAAGATCTTTCAGCCATTGATGCCATATCTTCTGTGTCTTTGAATCAACATCTTCATCCCAATCTTTCTGTTCTTTATGCAGGTTTTGGAGCAGCTGTTTTGAAATGAGTATGAAAGGAGCCATGAGTCCAAGAGGGTCATACACACTGCTAACCACAGACAGGATGCCACGTTTAGTGTCTGGTTTCATCTTGCTCTTTATCTTGAATCCAAGGGTGTCTGATTGCACAAACCAGTAGACACCTAAAGCTCTTTCAGATGGAAGGTCTTCACAGTCCAAGTTCAAGTCTTTAACATCCTTTGCTCTTTCTTGAGGTGGGATTGATTTCATTACTGTAGAGCTGTTGGAGATCCACTTGGTAAGCCTGAAGCTGCCTTCACTGCACAAACTGGTAAGTTCTTTTACAGTTGATACTGCCTTTTCTTCATTCAATTCGGATGCCAGACAATCATCTACATAGACGTTGTCAGTCAACTTTTCTATAATTTCTGGGACAAACTTATCCTGACTGTCCCTTGCTGTTTGTTGTAAGGCAAAGGATGCACATGAAGCAGAAGATACAGCTCCAAAGATATGGACTAACATCCGATACACTTTAGGTTCTTTTCTACAATCTCCGTCCGGCCACCAGTAGAAGCGAAGGAAGTCATTGTCTTCTTTTGGCACTCTGACTCGATAGTACATGGATTCGATATCACCCATGAAGGCAATGTTCTCCTGTCTATATCTCATTAGAACACCGAGGAGGCTGTTGCATAGATTGGGTCCTTGAAGCAAACTACTATTTAGGGAAACACCTTGGAATGTTGCTGAACAGTCAAAGACAACTCTTATTTTCCCTTGCTTGCGTGGATGGTACACCCCGTGGTGTGGGATAAACCATACTTTGCCTGGTTTACCTTTCAGTTCATCTTGAGGAACAATTTCAGCATATTCTTTGCTAAGGATGTCTTCCATGAACTTCTTATAGTCTTTATGTATTTGAGGGTTCATTGTAAATTTCTTCTTGAGTCCTCTCAAACGCTGTAAGGCTTGTTCACTGTTGTCAGGCATGATGACATCCTTGTCTCGAAAGGGCAGATTGACAACATAGTGTCCATCTTCTTTATGAATAGAGTTTGTCACAATCTTCATAAATTCTTTGTCCTCTTGTGACATTTCTTTTCTTTCTTCTGCTGCTTTCTCTGGAAAGTCATAGTTCATGCTGTCTTTCATCATAGTATTAATGTTCTGTAGATCTTCCATTGCTTTTATTGTTATGTCTGTTCTCATTGATGGAAATCTGTTTTCTTTTGCAAGTCTGAGGACATTCCAAAGTATCCATCCAAGCTTGGTTCTTGTTGCATGAGGACTTCCATCAGGACCGGTACGAATCTCTAGTGGTGCATAGGAGTCTGGTACATTTCCCCCGATGAGGATATCTACACTTGCATCAATCTCAGGCAGATATATATCATTAAGGTGAGGCCATTTTTTAACGTCAGATGAAACAGGTATGTGTTTCTTCAAAACTGGTATGTGTTCCTTGGAGTAAACGGTAGGTAGTGCGATCGTGTTCCTGAGGTCAAGGTCGTGCACTTGTAAGCCATTCACTGCTTGCACTGAAGTTGTGTAGGGCTTCCCCATTGTATCAATAGTAATATCCATACTTTTCCCACTGCATCCAAGTTTCTTCAAAAGCGATTCGGAACAAAATGAGACAGTACTGCCTGGATCAAGGAAGGCATATGTTGACTCAACCTTGACTCCGTTACTGTATGACACTTTCACCGGAATAATAGCAAGAGTACATTCCATTGCCCCGGCCTCCATAGCTTCACATGTTCCATCTTGTTCGGTACATGCACCAACCAGCTTTCTTTCAGTTTCATACACAACATGCAGGATTCCCTGATGATTTCTGTTACATCTGAAGCAGGTTACTGTCTTCTCACAGGACTTGCTCAAGTGACCATAACACAAACATCGAAAACACAATCCCCTTTTCTGAAGAAATGCCAGTCTATCCTTCAAAGTCTTCTTAACAATCTGATCACAAATCTGCAACTTATGAGAATTGCTGTTACAGTATATACACAAGATCTGCTGACCTTCAGGTTTGCTTGACTGGGTGTTCTGAGTTGTATTCTCTACCATGTCTGTGCTGAAGGCTTGAATGATGATTGTGAAGCAATTCCTGCGTTTCTCTTTGGCTGTGTCTTTGTTCTGTCATCATTCCTCAGAGCATCTTTTCCATACATTGGATCTGTTGCTTTTCTTGCTTCTCTCTTCACAAACTTGACCAGGTTATGGAATGCTACAGTTCCTCCTGAATCCCTGATAGATATGACAATATTCCTCCACTTCTCATGGCAATGGAAAGGGAGTTTCATAACGAGCCTTCTGATGTTGTCAGGATACTCCAGGATCTTTACTGCTGTGATGGAGCTTACTGCATTCTCACATTCTTGTAGGAAGATGGCATATTCATCCATGGATTTAGGGTTGTCTACTTTTACATTAGGCCATCCCAATGCTTTCTTGACGAGAGCAGATGCAATAGCGTCTTCATTGCCGTATCGTTCATCAAGTTCCTGCCAAGCCTTTTGATACCCTTGACTGGCCTCCAGGTAACTATATCCCTTGACAATTTTCAGCGCTTCACCTAATGTGAACTGTTCTAGATATGACATCTTCTCATCTTCTGTTTCTGAGTTGACAACAATCTTCACCTTGAACTGACGCTTGAATCTTTGATATTCAATAGGATCCCCAGAGACCTTCATGATTTCAGGAGGCGGCTTTCGGAGCTGTTGCACAACACACTGAATAAGATTCTCACCGCTTGCTGCAGTAGTTTGTGGAGACAAGTGTTGATTGAAGTCTTCTTGAAGAGGTAAGTTTATGTTATCAGGTAAGTACCGTTTACGTTCAGTGTTGAAATGTTCATTTTCATCTTCATTCACAGGAACAGGGACATATGGATCGTGCGGTTGTAGTGAACGTTCTGATTTCACACTACCTCTGTCAGAGAAATAATCTTGAAGCACTTTAGACTTTGCTTGAGAAATCTCCATTTCTGTTTTCAGTTCTAACTCTTCTTCCTTCATTTTCAATTCCATCTTTGCCAAGTCTATTTTCTGTTTCTCTTTCAGTGCTTTCATCTTTGTCTCTAATTCAACTTGCTTTTGTTTTTCTTTCAGATGGGCTGATGAAACACGACTGGTTAGTGATGAATGACTGCCTTTAGAGGAGGCTGGTTCTTCTTTAAATATACAAACACTTTTCAGGCTGACTGAACCTTGTCTACTTATATCTTTCTTATCAGTTTGTTTAACTTCTGGTTTCTGTTCATCTTCACTTTTGTCATTCAGTGAATCTTTAACATTCTTTTTCTCTGTTTCACTTGGTTCACGGATGTGTTTGAGAAAGAATGCTTCTAACTTTGATTTACATGTCAGCAGAACAGAGTCTTGTGATTCACATTCTTCAATAAAAGGACTAAGTTCAATTTCATCCAACAGTGATGCAAAGTCTTTGCGGAGATCTAACAGTGTTTCGTAGAATTTCAACCAGCTTCCATGACTACATCTATTCTCCTCTATCTCTTCAGAAGTGAAAGTTTCAACATGAGATTTGGCATAAAGTTTATCAAAATCATCCAACAATTGTTTATATAAACTCTTAATTTTCTTATATTTAGTTTGCTTAGCATACTGCAAACCCTTTTCTGTCATCTTCCTTAGTCTTTGTTTCAAAACATTATCCTTTTCTTTTCCTTCCATACCTTTGTCTAAACAATGTCAATGCTGTTATAACTTGAAGTCTTTCTTTCTCAAATGATGATTTCTTTATTCTTTCATGTTTTGCATTCTTTCTTTTCTTTACATTCTTTTTGTTTCCATTTAGATAAATGTCTTTCTTTTCTTAACTAGAATCTCATTATTTTCAGATTGACTGAAATACAAATAAATAAACAATAATTACTATTTTGATCAAATGATGCATTAATGCAAATAATCATAATGACATTATAATTGAATTAACCTAATAAAATTGACTACCTTTCAGTGACATGAAATACTATGCAAAATGTAAACAAACGATGAAAAACACTTTATGACTAAATAACTGCTCTAAAACATTTATACACAGGTAGATAATGATAAAATAATATATATGACAAAATTTGGCAAACTCACCATTGTTTTTAGACTCTTTTATCCTTAAAACCTTTTCTCATTTCTTTCATTCTCACATGCATGCTGCATGCTTTTAGGGCCACATGGAAGATAATACACGATACTAAGCAGTTATGCCCCTTGGCATATTATGATGAGTAAACATAAATTTGAATGGAGAAGAAATGAAATATGAATTAATACTTGCCAAAAACGAAATATGATTTATATTTTAATACTTTGATAACAAACAAAGGAAATATGATTCTGAACTTTGCAAATAATAACTTAACAATTTTGACACTTACATTTACTTATACATGTTTATTGCCAAAATGTCACAGATTACACCATGTAAACACAGAGATTCAATGTGAATGCTTATATCTAGGATGGTAATTGATACCAGTCAAATTGGTAAAACTCAAGTAGATTGTTATGCTTTGACAATCAAGTGTCATCTTGTGAACCCTGAGTGAGGCCAGTCCAATTGCCCAAACTCAAATTGATTGTTTGGTTTTCATAGGTAAGTGACATCTTGTCATGTTGTGAAAAAAGACCAGTAGAACTGGTTAAACCTTAGTTAATTGCTTTGTTTTGAGAGGCCCCAAGTAAGCTCCTTGAGCTCTTGTACTATGTCAATAAGGTTTGAATAAGCAAAATACATGTACATTTTGAAACTAACTAAGCCAAAATTTTGTAAAAAATGTGATGGATACAAAATCACATACTGGTTTGGGTACATAGATCACAAGGAATATTGTGGGTACAAAATTACTACATCCCATCTGTGGAAGACAGCTTCAGTAATTAGACACGACAGGCACACAAGTTATTTTATAACATTTAGAAAAACAATCTGTATCAGACGTATATATACAACGAAAACATTCAAGAAGTAATATTTTACTCAAAGATTTTATCATCGTGCTCATGTTTACAACGATATATTTTAAATATATACGATTGTTGGCAACATCTCAATTTGATAACATAAGTAACTTCCTACAAACAACTTAAGTTTACTTCACACATTTATGCTTAAAATAAGACAACAGAAGCGAAAACTACATATTTCAACGAAGACGTACCTTGCTACAAGTTCATCATGGTTGCCCTCAACCGACTTTTTCCGCAACGAAAGGAATGCTTTCAACGATGTGACAGTCCACAAAAGAAATTTCTCCAGACTCATATCGCTCAAATCTGCCATGGTGTACAAATACGTAGTCGGTAAAGCTCGTAAATACGTCCAGTAGCGAAGAAAGCGGAGACGATAGTGATGCTGAATGACGCAGGGACAACAGTGATATGTGAGGTCCTTGTCGAAATCGGCGCGCGCATCGTCGACGTTTTTTATTTCCGGTAAGATGGCGGAAAAATGGACAATCGTGTATTTAACGCGACATTTAACCCTATTTCACATCACCTCACCTCAAAACTTTTCTGTCAACACTCATATGTCCTTCCAAACAGAATGCATCAGTTTTTTTACTAAGAGTCAGATTAGTCCATTTCCACATACAAGCTGATGTAACCGGAAACAAACCTTCAGCTACACAACCAAGTCTCGCAACAACCACCACCACCCTACCTCTCTCCCAACCCTTCCTCCGGCTACACAACCAAGTCTCGCAACAACCACCACCACCCTACCTCTCCCCCGCTACCCACCACCCTCCCTCCAGCTACACAACCAAGTATCGCAACAACCACCACCACCCTACCTCTCCCCCGCTACCCACCACCCTCCCTCCAGCTACACAACCAAGTATCGCAACAACCACCACCACCCTACCTCTCCCCCGCTACCCACCACCCTCCCTCCAGCTACACAACCAAGTCTCGCAACAACCACCACCACCCTACCTCTCCCCCCACCCTCCCTCCAGCTACACAACCAAGTCTCTCAACAGCCGCCACCACCACCCGCGTAGTAGCCTCTTGCATTGAATATGTGAAATACGTGAGTGATTGAATGTGTTATTTTAAACCATAACCTGCAATAGTCCAGCTATATGGCGACGATCTGTTGATAGAAACTGGATCAGGCCAATCTCAGTGATATTCATGTTCAAATATAAGGTGTCCAGCCATCGGTCGTTGTTTACAGTGTATTAATCTACAAGACAATGAAGCGATTTTCCGTTATTCCCGGTGCATTGAAGACCCGAAATGAGATATTGTGTTGCGTACGGGTGTACTAAGCAATAGTTCCAAATGTCATTTCTTCAAATATTCAGCGAAAAGGCTGATTTAGCAAGGGTGAAATGTCCCTTTGGTCGTTTACTGGCTACGTTTCAACGGAAGTTCCGTCAATATTCAGGAATATATGTGTCACAGTTGTCAAAAATTCAATTTTTAATATTTCACAATAATACACAACAAACATCCCGCTACATGAATACATGCAACAAACATACAAGACACAGGCCTCACCTCGACACCCTGGATTTATAACACAATGGACGAGCAGGGGTGAGACTTCCCTTTGGTCGTTTTCTGGCAACGTTTCAATGATTTGTTTCCGTTGCATTCAGTACCATCTGCGTCGCTGTTGTTGTCCAAGTTTCAATGTGCCATGTCCGGAGGTCGAGTGATTATTCACAACTCTTACTGCGCAGTACTTCTCTCGAAACAAGGAAGAAGATTTGACAGTGTTGAAAATAAATCAGCAGATCAGATGAAACATGTCACGAATGAATAGCCCTGCTGTGGCTAAACAATTTGTAAGTTAAACATTTTCGGAAACTTTGATATGTAAACAGCAAATATAATTCAGTGTAATGTCATCTTAAGATGTTAGTTTAATCATGCTTATCTTGTGGATACCATAAAAATAAATCAAAGTTTATTTTGAGCTGGCATGAATATCATAAAATACTTACTAGTAAGTCTATCCTCATAATTTTCTCTATTCCACCATGCGTCTGGTCCCATACAAAATATTCTTCATGAATACTGTAAATCGAGAAAATTAATGCAATGATGAGTCACCACATTAATGCGAGTGTCCACCCCTGGCCTAAAATACGTCAGGAACTTTATTAGAGTAGCCTTGTACATAGCACCCACACTGTAGACTCAGAATTCCATAAAGGAGTTCTGGCTGACGTTCGACCGAATAATATCATTTGCTATCTTCACAAACTTAACTTCCATTAGTGTATGTGAAAAGTTCACCGAGTGTACACTGTAGTGGACGTTTTCAGTTAAGGATTAGTATTATATCTTGAAATAATTACTAATAGGATATTATTGTCATTGTTATTCCTTCAGATTATTACAAACAATGCTATCATTCTGATTTGAAATAATGACATAAATTGTTACCGCTCATCTTCCCATATAATTTAAACAAGGTTGGGTTCATGACAAACATATTTAAATATATACAACAACTATACTTACTTATACAGTAAACTACGGTTATAACGAACACGCTTATAACGAACTGACGGATATAACGAACTTACTTTTTCGTCCCGACTACTTGCTGTAGTCATGCTGTATATGTACATATAACGAACTACGGTTATAACGAACTAAAATTAGTAGTCCCTTTGAGTTCGTTATAACCGTAGTTTACTGTACTAAATTTGATACCTTATTATTTAAAGAAAATACCTGTGAAGATCCGGGTTGGAATACGTTCAAAGCAACCCATGCTTGGCATAATCGGCGACTAACGGGATCGGGTGGTCAGACTCAGGGACTTGATACATATCCCAATCGATGCTCATGGTGTCAATCACTGCATTGTGTGGTCCAGACTCGATTATTTACAGACCACCGTTATATAGCCGGAATATTGCTGAGTGTGGCGTTCAACAACAATCAAACAAAAAATATTATTCAAAACCCTCCTACATTTAAACTACACATAGTATAATCAGAGAATAGAATAGACTATATTTTATGGTCTCTGGTGTAATATAATGATTCGAATGCCTGTAACGGGCATTGTTTAAGAAGGAAATATTAACGGATTTGTCCTCTTGATCAGATATGCGCTTCAGTAGTGGTTTTGTATATCTCCAGTTTGGTATTTACAGTGTAGCTCTAATTATTTGTTGATAATTCAACAAGCAAAATAAAACAAAACTATTCTACCATGGCGAAAGGTGAGGTGAGGGTTAACGTGGCCTTCAAGATTATTGCTCTTATATGGCGACCTGCATGCCGCACGTGCATTTGTGTGTGTGGCTGCTTGTATAGTCCGGAGATTTTAGAGTGCCAGTCGACTGAGATACCATGCCACATCATGAATACCCCACTCAAAAACAGTGTACTCCGAGCGGACCAGTCTTTATTTTAGCCCCTTAATACCGAGCGTCAGGCAGGGTAACAACAAGTACCAGCTTTTAACGTATTCTGGTATGACGAAGCCGGGGATCGAACCACCGACCTTCCTCTGCCCGGGCGGACCTTCTACCACTGGACCACGGAGGCTGTCGATCGCATTTTTCGCATAAATGTCATGCTCGCATTAATTTCATGATTTACTGAAGATAGATTTGAACATTTCTGAGCAACGATCATGTTTGGGTAAGGGAAGTAAATCTTGTCTCCGCTTGCAATTGGATTCAATCGGGCGAGCAGTTCCGAGATCGCAGCTTGACTGTTACGGCCGAAAGGCGGCATCCATGTTGTTCACGCTCCGCTGATCACGGGGCCTCATTTGTCTGTATTCTGCTTATGAGCTGGGATGCGCATGAAACACGGGTGTCAAAACGAATATATTTACCAATTATATGTACGGTCAATTAGCCAGTCCAAGAGACAATACCCTGGTTCTACCACCTTTAGGTGTAATTACGTCACATGGCCCTGGTTCACGGTTCGTCTGATCTCCCGTCATAAAACCACGATGTTTATTTACCTGGAGCCTCCGACAGCGCCGACTTCTTGTGTACATTTACGTACATGGCAATAAATGGTTTGACAGTTGTTTGACGGAATCAATCAATAATTATTGACGGAGTGATGTAATTTAATTTTGTCACTATTCACAACTCCTTTTTTGATTTTCTATTGTTCAGCTGTATTTTCGATCAGTTTTATATGTATAAAAAATCTTCTCTAGAATTTAAAAACCAAACCTAAAAACATTATATAAGAACAACCGTGCAAGTAAGATTTCAGCCGTAATATTACTTTAGTTACTCCACAGATTACACATCTTATATGCTGCAAACGCAGCGAATGTAATGCTACTACGTCACAGCTGCCTCGGTAATTAAGGGCTGGAATGTTTTTGTGAAGGCGGTTAGAGCAGACGAATATCCCCCCTCGCTGTATAATGACGGTCGCTAACCATATATATATGTATTTTTCGTGTTTTTGGCTTGATTTGATTGTCCTTTGGTGAAAACAAATGTTCAATTGTGAAAGCAAACCCCTTTCCCCTGAACGTTAAAAGACAGGAGACTTTGTTTTGTCTGAAATATCAACGTTGAAGTCGTTTATATATTCGGAAATCCATATTATGGTAATTATTTATTAAATGCTGTTTTGTATATATGTATATATTATTATGTTAATATGGACAATGGCAAAATTCATTATCACAGTTTAAGTGCTATGCACAAATGTATGTAAATCTACTTCGTGATGAATGAAGCATGGCAATAAGTGTATGCATCTGATTCTTCATTTGTTCTGTATTCTTTGATGAGAATGAGTTTCGTTAATGATGATCACTCTCACAGATTTTTTGATAAGAGGATAGGACTTTAACTGGAGAATGGTTATGAAAAATATTCATATAACTATAGGAGGTCTGTGCACATGGGGTGAAACTGATACCTCATTGATTTGCTAATCGGGACTTGGAAATCATAGTCTGTCATTAAATTGATTTTAAAATATATGGTTTTGACTGTAGTACGTCCTGACATCATAATATTATGTTGTAAACAACTTATCTTATCTTATGTTAAGTAAAACAATTATTGATAACTTCCTGAATTCCAATTATTCAATGAACAGAATTATTCACAGCTCTGGCGTGAGACAACAATAAATTAGATGTTACCAAAGATTGTCCATTTTATGATCTTGGGCACATTACGCACTTACATGTGAGCCGTCTAGACGACTGTCTGTTTTGTAATTAAATGGCAGCTGCCATCCAGCCGAATACTTAATCTTGAGACCTATTAGTGTCTTGTCGAGTCAAGTGCGGGTCTCTCTCTCACCTTAGGGAGAATGCGACCTTAGGGAAAAGCCCCTCGCTAGACAGACAAGCAGTGAATGTTTGGGTCTCCTCCCATTAGTAAGACAGCCCAGTTGTGAGACACTTTAAATCAACAATGTCATACCTGGTTGCACATGTTAATCAGGTAATTAACCCCTATCATGAAAATGGACTTGTCTTATTATAGACAAAAGAAATGACTCAAGATGCTTGATACCCTCTTTTACTTTTTCATTCCACATTTTAATTCATCCATCCCTTAAATCCATTGTTTTAACATATTCGCCACTTAGAGTTCAGTTAAAGTTAATATCACAGTTCACATCGAGGTTGTCACACTGACACAACCTTAATCCATCTTCAGAAGTTTGCC